ACCTTCGCCATTACTCTCTCTTTCTTCTTTCCTCCCCTTTAGAGGCGCACACTATTTTCCTCTCACTCTCGGCACTCAGAGCATAAAGCTCTGATACCAATTTGTAGAAAAAATAAGAGAGACGAGGTAATACTAATGTTGTGGGTGAACGTAGCAACTCACTGTGTTTTTTATTGAATAAGAGATGGCCTTTAAATAGCCATTTTACAACGTACTGAACTAACAAGAAGATAATAAAATATCTTATCAAATCAAAACTTATCAAGAAACTATCTTATCTAATCTGAAACAAAATAACTCAAAAGATAAATTAAATAATTCCAGATAACTTAAATCGGATATCTCGGATATCTCGGATATCTCGGATATCTCAGAATCTCTAGAAATTTAAGATTTTCCAACAGTTTTGTGAAATTGATGATTCAATCGGGTTTCATATTGATTTATAAATGTGGTTGTGATATTATTTGGTAAGATTGATGATCTAGATGATGATTGAATTTATTGGGATGTTCTCTGTAAGTTAGGATTCTTGTAGATTGATGAAAACCTTTAATTATATGAATTATTGAGTAATTGGGTGATTTTACTTATGGATGTACCTTAGTATTTTTGTAATATCTTTCTGTGTAATTAACCAAATCAATTTTCATTTGTTGGGTTAGAAATTAGACACTTGGGGCTATAATTTAGACTCTAGAATCGTGTAAAAATGTTAAGAATTGATTGATTTACGCGATTTATAAGTTCAGTCTCCATTTTAGTGCGTGAAATATTAAGTTTTATGTTGTCATCCATGCGAGGTGACCTTAACGATACTTTTAGGCTTCATGTTCTTCACAAAAGTTGTAGCTTTCGGTGTTATCTTTATAATGGCTTTGGAATCACTCAAAAATAATGTGTATAATTCAAGTTATGGTCAAAATAGTGAGTAGAGATCAAGCTGTCAGGATTTATGATGCTCAATGCAGGTATTCTATTTTAGTTTGCCTTTTTGACGTTTTGGGACTCCCATTTAGGCATGTTTGTTATATTTTATGATTTCTTAGTGATTCTTTATAATACTTATGATATGATTGAATGAGTTTGATGTGGGATTGTGAAATAAGGTATTATATTGATGAATTTTGATGATAGTTGTGAATTGTATGATGTCCAATAATGACTATTGTATGAAGAGGTATAAATGGTGTGTGCTGGATGAAATGTAAATTAATGTGAATTAAGGATTGACGTGTATGAGGAGATTGTGCAAGATATGTGTATGACTTATTGTAGAAATGTTGGTTGTACATGTGATGTGGAATTAAATTGTGAACTATGATGTGATGATTGGGTACAGTCGTATGTGTGAAACCGAGCCGTAAGGGCATGCACGTGATACGGTGCTATTTATGTGTTGTTGTAGGCATGGTCGTATGCGTGATATGATACTAGACGTGTGATGTGTTGGTACAGTTGTATGCGTGATATCGGTATCGATAGTGGAATGCATTGACACAATCGTGAATATGCATGATGTTAGGCGTGTGATGTGGCAACAGGGAGGTGTACATGATAAAGTGCTAGATGTGTGACACGGTATATATATATGATTGGTGATGAGATAGTCTGTGTGGAACGTGAGAGATTGTGATTACATACATGTGGAGTTTGAACATTAAAGTTGGTACTGGTAAAAAAATCAAAAACTTCTATGAAAATTAAGTGCATGAGTTAATTTTAGTTTAAGAAAAACTTGATTTATTTTATACAATTATATTTCTCACATCTGCTTTATCTTTCACTTTAGACAAAAAAAATATTAAAATATTAATTATTTATTATTCATGTAACAACTATAACTTTATATTATTTTAATTTTTCAAATCAAATCCTTTATTATTTTATATTTAATATGAGATCAGTAAAGGGATGCATGAAAAGAAATGGAAAGAAAAAAGTAGAATATGATTATTTTAGATTATTTTTTCTGTAAAAAATAATTATATATTAATGATTCTAAAAACTATTTATATATAAATTAGAACGATTATATTAAATGAGTTTAGGAAGTTTTTTTGGTTAATGAATGTGTTTTTTAAGAGTTTCTTTTAATCACTTATTTTTTTTATCATTCTTATTTTTTAAATTTAATTATAATATATATTTAAAAGGTTTTCAAAGATTGAAGAGTTGTATATAACAATATAAATTATTAATATTAAATTTAAAATATAATTTATATATATTAGATTTATTAATTATAAATTTTAATTACATAAAATAAGTATTTATCCCTGTGTTACACAAGTTAAAATATTAATAATTATAAATTAACAAATTTTTTAATTATTAATGTAAACACCCTTGCATTATTAATATACTATTACCATGTCTGATGTCGGGGTTTTCACAGTTCTTTATTACTTTAAATATGTTTTTATAAAAAATAAATGAAAATTTAGCATATAAAAGAAATTAACCTTGAATTAAAATGATTAATTAAATGAATTAAGATAATATTTTAATAGTTGTATATTTAAATATTTTTTGAAAAAAAATTAGCTCATAAATTGACACTAACGAATAAAGTGTTTTTTTTTTTTTTTTTTTTTTTTTTT